AACTACAAAATAAAATGCAAAAGACTCTAAAATGTCAAAAACAGATTAAGGCTACGGAGCGATCCCTTGTGTGACATTAAACCTCTTCAATGCTCCTCCACCTCAATTTGTGATCGCTTGTGAAGGTATATAATAAAATAACGTAAAATTCACAAAAAAAAAGTGCAAGTATACACTATCACAAAATAATAAGTAAATAATGATCGTATTTTTTTTTTTTTTATTCAAATGGTAGTTAGTGATTTTAAATTAATTAAATAAAATTTATGCAAAGTATCACTACTCTCGAAAAGCAGATAGTAATGAGAAAATCAAGAATAATGAGGAGGTTCGAGCTTACCGAAATTAACTACGTAAGTGATTGAACTTTGTGGTGGATTTTAGTTTCGTTGGAGATGTTTTGTAATTTCTATTAACAAGTCTGTAAAAATAATTATTCCTAATCCTTCCATTGAAGTATCCTTGCCATGAAGCTAGAGGGTTAAAAAAGCTCTCTTCTATATAAAATTTGATAAAAAGCATCATTTGTGGAACTAACTAGTGAATCTTTCCATAGGACAATAAAGAAACTCAAAGTATGGGGGTTGACCTCATGTACCCACCCGCTACTACGTCAACCTCTATGGTTTCACATTCCCTCTCAAAATGGGTTTATAGCACAGTCACCCTATTAAGTTGACTCCTTGACCATGTCCGAAGTACCTAGTCACCTCAATGTGCTATCCTATCCCGCCTAGACCTTTCTCAACGATATTGCTCCTATAAACCTACAAGTTTGTAGAGGAGCTATAAGTTCGACGTGGGGGTATCAGAGAGGATAGGCGGCAAAGGCTCTTGTGGCACTATTCACATTACTAGTACCTCAAGAGTTACCTTAGCCATGTTTGGGCTCCATTGAGATCTACAAGATTCTAAGGATGTCTAGGTAGCTTAAATCACGAACTCTCAACTTCATAACTACATTCTAGTTCCTTATGGATTTCTTAGTTTGGGAGTACTAGGATCTAGACCTTTGATCACCTCTCACAATCCTAAGGCACTCAGTCTACAGGAGACATTCTGACCTAAGTCATCGTTTAACTGGCCTAACTCCTAATCTTATCTCAGTATAGACATCTATGCTCAACAAGAATATCACACAACCAATCACCTGAAATGAACATAAATTTTCATGCATTCATGCAACTCAATAGAGAGATAACATCCATCAATCACTTAGAGTACAAATCATAATATCTCATCCTTCCTTCTAACAAAGCAAATATATATGTAAAATAGCATGCTTCTCAAAATCTCATCCTACGGAGATTTTAGTAAATTTTTACATCATGCTTGTCATTCTAAACTACACTGCTCATTTGTTGCCCTATTCATGCATATTTTATCTACCTTAGGCATGATATGAATATTAATTACTTGCTTAATGCGTGCCAACCTATTTCAAACTTAGTGAATAAGGTGAAAATTAGATAAATAGGAGTTGAATCAGGTGAAAAATATCTCTTTACGCGTCATCACGTGCCTCCCATGCTCAGGTAGGGTGTCTCACGTGTGCCTACACACGCGTTGAGAAACACGTTATCATGCTACAACCAGACCAGTGATTAAGCACCAATGTACGTAGATTTTTATTTTTTTTCTTTTACAGTTTTTTCCATGTGGATGTGTCATCCCGTGTGCGTCAACATCTTTGGGTGTGCGGGTTAAAGGTGAAATGGCAATTTCTACCTTCAATTTTTTTGCTATTTTTTTTTTGCACGTCCTGCTTGTAATAGCCCCCAAAAAAATAATGATAATAATAATAATAATAACAATAATAAAAATAATAAAAATAAAAATAATTATAAAAAAAAATATATACGTCAAACTAATAATAATTCATAATTAAATAACTAAAAAGATTATTTAAAAATAAAAAATAAAATTAAAAATAAAATTTACTCTCCTCTCTCCTCTCGTCCCAACAGCATCCTCTTTCCTCAACCCCACCATATCACAGTTCATCCAAAAATAAACAGAAAAAAATGTTAGATTGGGGAAAAAGTAAAATGTGTTTCAACAGAGATATGATGTAGATCTATTAGAGAGATTTTGGTCTATTATTACCATAAAATCCTATCTCAAATTTTCTCTTTATATGGTTATAAGAAATCAATTTAGGATCAAATCTTCTCTCATATTTGACTCGATCAAGTAATAATCAGATCCCATCTTCAATTACTTAGATTTTTTTTTTGTTAGCATGGGAAGTTATAGGAAATAAAGTTAGAATCAATAAAATTTTAGTTGTCAGAATCCATAAACCCGTAAAATAGTAGCCAATCAATCTATTAAAATTGGCTAACTGTTTACAGAATTAAAATAAATATAGAATTAGAGGAATATCTTATTTACAGAACTGAAAATCTATTTAAGTAAAATAATTACAAAGAGGGAGAAAGGAAGATTTCTTGAACAGAATTTAAAAATAAAACAGAAATATCAGAAGGCATAAACTCCATTAAATTTTGTCTAACAGGAAATATCAGAACTTTGGCCAACTGTTTACAAAATTAAAATAAATATAGAATTAGAGGAATATCTTATTTACAGAACTGAAAATCTATTTAAGTAAAATAATTACAAAGAGGGAGAAAGGAAGATTTCTTGAACAGAATTTAAAAATAAAACAGAAATATCAGAAGGCATGAAACTCCATTAAATTTTGTCTAACAGGAAATATCAGAACTTTGGCCAACTGTTTACAAAATTAAAATAAATATAGAATTAGAGGAATATCTTATTTACAGAACTGAAAATCTATTTAAGTAAAATAATTACAAAGAGGGAGAAAGGAAGATTTCTTGAACAGAATTTAAAAATAAAACAGAAATATCAGAAGGCATAAACTCCATTAAATTTTGTCTAACAGGAAATATCAGAACTTTGGCCAACTGTTTACAAAATTAAAATAAATATAGAATTAGAGGAATATCTTATTTACAGAACTGAAAATCTATTTAAGTAAAATAATTACAAAGAGGGAGAAAGGAAGATTTCTTGAACAGAATTTAAAAATAAAACAGAAATATCAGGAGGCATGAAACTCCATTAAATTTTGTCTAACAGTAAATATCAGAACTTTAACGTGTAAATTAGAGAAATAATTTTATAGAGTTCAAACTGGAAACTGATGTCATGGGCTCACATAGGTTGACTTGGATTTCAAAGGACGGAATCGAACTTTCATTAAGGATATATATGTGACAACGACTTAAGGTAACTAGGTAAGTGGCTCACCCGTCGTAGGTTACGCGTTAATTGTTGTATGTTGGCACGTGCCCGTGGATTTGCACGTGTCACTGAATTGTATGCTAGTTTAATGTGCTTAAGTACGAACTCATGTGAACGTGAATGTATGCTATGTATGCTGCTTTGTTTCATGTGATATGATATGCATGTGACGATATGTGGTTCCTGAATGATTATGGCATGATTGTACGAAATATTTGAATGTAAACAGCATGAATTATATGACATGAAATATGGTAAACTGTATGGAAACATAACCCCGATAGGAATATGTATGATACGTAAAGAAATGAAAATGAGAATGACATGTAAGCATGAAACGTGACAAGAGGTTATGTTCATTAATGTTAAATGTAGGACTAGTGGGGACCTCATGCATATTGTGTATTCATGCATCTGGGGGATACCCCTATCCCATTACGAGAGTACGAACGCGTACATCCAATGGCAGGGCAACGATCGTTATGCTTTGCATAGCGCAGACGTGACGGTTACTAGTTTTAACGGGTCCTGGCATAAGGGGTTCCCAGAGTATGCCCACCGGATAAGAAAAGTGGCCCAGCGGTGTGCGAACTAGCTGGTGAGCCCATACTCGCACGTATGGGCTGTGTGCAGAGTATATGGTACACGTCCACGATTACCCGTTAGGACAGCACCGTAGGGAAAACGAAACGAAACGATAGGTCCCATCATTTCATTGTGTGTGATTGTTGCATAACCCCGATAGGGAGTCACTTACTGAGTATTCTAGAAATATTCAAGCCTTGTGCTACTTTACTTTTTCAAATAAGGGCAAGGCACCCATGTGACATCGATGGCAACATCGTACACCCCGGGACCGTGGCACATGCATAGGGTAGTTGTTTTTTTTTTTTTTTTTCCATTTCATAGTCTAGGTTGAATTCGATTTGCAACATTAGTATAGGTTAGTATAGGTTGAATTGTATTTGCATAATAAACCATAGGGTAGTATAAGATATTCATTTCGGTTTTGTTCCTTTTCCTTTATTTCAATAATGTTCTTTTCCTTTTTCTTTCCTTGTAATCATTTTCTCTTTCACGGAGTAATAAAAGGCGAGTGTAAGTCGCATTTATGAACAGGGCCCATTTGATGTATATTTCGCATTGTATAGTAATGGCCTTAGATTAAATAGGTAAAATTTAGGGTCGTTACAATGCTTCCCTTCGAGCCTAGTGTAATTGCATAGCTCGTATCAAACCCATAGAAGTCACTATTTTTGAGGTTCGATTAGAACTCCAACTAATAGTCAGTTTCACCTCCAAGTTTCTTCACGAACTTTGCAAACACGACTTTTCCAAGATTTTTTTTTATGATTTAAAATTATAGAATGAATCTCTTCAAGGTTTTTTGTGTAACTTTTACTAAGAAATATTAGTAGAAAAATACTCTCCCTATATCCTTCCTTTTTGTATTTTTTTATTTTTATTTTCTTAGTAGATTTTAAGACGAAAGATTCAAAGTTTTGGTATCAAACATTCTATTCATAAATAGAAAAAACAAAAGAATACAAAAATGAAATTCTATAAAGTGAGTGAACCTTATCTAAGAATTTTTCTTTTTTTTCTAACTTTACAACGTGTAATAGACGAATCATATTCTTAAAAATAAAGTAGAATTGTGTGATATGAAAATTTTGTTATTATTTTCATATTTGTACGGCTCCTATAAATACCATACTACTAAATGAAGAAAGACCATCATCAAGTTTTCTTCACATAATATTGAATATTACAATGGCAGTGGTTGCTCAGATTACTTCAAATGACCCAATCAGTCAATTGAAGATTGACGGATGCCTCATTTGTCCAAGCAAGTGGATACAAATTCCTAATGTCTCAGAGGTTTGTGTGCAAAATATTGCAAAGTTTGCTGTGGACGACTACAACCTCCAACATAAGGAGAGTTTCAAATACAAGAGCATTAAATGTGGTTGGTTTATGGAGCTGAAGGGTGAAGACCTGGACTTCTGCCTCCATATTGAGGTTGTAACGACCCTAAATTTCCACATATCTAGAGTCGCCACTAACGTCTCATGCTCATCTCTAATGCAGAATAAAAATCTAAGCATACTCATCTTTAATAGCGGAAAAATTTAAGACTTCAGAATACATTAAAACATTGGAAAACACTGTCGGACTTACGTGTTTCAAACATTGTGCTGGAGTTCAAAAAGATAAAATAAAACGATTACAAATTAATTAATATAAATGAATGAAATGCAAACACCCTATCCTAACTAAGACTAGGAATTAAATATGCATCTATCCTATGCACGCGCCACAGTCTCTGATCACGATGCCACCGTCAACCGTACATGGGCGCCTTGCCTTTACCTAAAAAAAACAATATGGCACACGGCAGAAATACTCAGTAAGTGACCCCACTATAGGGGCCATGCTAATGCAAACACATGCAATCATGAATAGGGATCTATCTCTAATCATCTTAGGGGTGGCCTCCTGTAACGACCCTAAATTTCCACATATCCAGAGTCGCCACTAACATCTCATGCTCATCTCTAATGCAGAATAAAAATCTAAGCATGCTCATCTTTAATAGCGAAAAAATTTAAAACTTCAGATTACATTAAAACATTGGAAAACACTGCCGGACTTACGTGTTTCAAATATTGTGCTGGAGTTCAAAACGATAAAATAAAACGATTACAAATTAATTAATATAAATGAATGAAATGCAAACGCCCTATCCTAACCATGACTAGGAATTAAATATGCATCTATCCTATGCACGCGCCACAGTCTCTGATCACGATGCCACCGTCAACCGTACATGGGCGCCTTGTCTTTACCTGAAAAAAAAAACAATATGGCACACGGCCTGAGTATTTCGAAGAAATACTCAGTAAGTGACCCCACTATAGGGGCCATGCTAATGCAAACACATGCAATCATGAATAGGGACCTATCTCTAAT